GGCCTGGAGGAACTGTATCGCTGCTGCATGCTCTTTGTGGATGACATGGCCGAGCCCAGGGAGACGCCAGAGCATCCTCTGAAGCAGATGAAGGTGAGAGCCGGGTGCAGCACGCCTGGCACGTCCCTAGTGGTGTCTGGTGCCTGTTGGGTTTTCAGTGGTTTGGTTCCCACTCACAAATGTGTAGGACTCCTATGTAGGAGTCAGGTGCTGGTTTGTGTTGACGGAGAGGGAGCCCCGGGTGTGGTCATTGCTGCTTCCTGTGGCCCTTGGTTTTGATGAGTGGTAGCCCCGTCTCACTTTAGGGACTGCAGGCAACGCGGATTGCTTTCATCCTCAATCTCTCTGCAGTTTTTGCTGCGCCGGAAAGAAGATGAGGCAGTGCTGGTTGGCGGGGAGTGGTCTCCTTCCCTGGATGGCCTTGATCCCCAGGCTGACCCACAGGTGCTGGTGCGCACAGCCATCCGCTGTGCCCAGGCCCAGACCGGCATTGACTTGAGCACCTGTACCAAATGGTGAGTGGCTTCCTGTGTGTGGCCGGCTTGCTCTGGGCTGATGCCCTCTGGCCCGTCAGTCCCTGCGCCCAGGCACAGCTGCTGGGGCATGGGGTGCTGAGTGGGGCTGTCTTAGCACAGTGTAAGTAAGCTGTCCACTCTGCGCCTCCTGTTGCCTGTCAGTTTCTTGAGGACTTTGTCTGTACTTGTTTGCATTTTTCACACTTGCCATGCAATGTGTGCTCACTCAGCGCAGACTGGAAGCAGACGCACTCCTCTGAGTATGCGGGCTGCATGAATGAGCCGCAGTTGATGGCTTCCCTTTTCACTTTACTGTGAACAGGTGGCGCTTTGCCGAGTTTCAGTACCTGCAGCCGGGACCGCCCCGGCGGCTGCACACGGTGGTGGTATACCTGCCGGACATCTGGACCATCATGCCCACCTTGGAGGAGTGGGATGCCCTGTGCCAGCAGAAGGCTGCAGAGGCAGCTCCCCCTCCCCAGGAAGTACCAGGGGTAGGCTGAGCCTTGGGATGACCCAGGGAAAGCAGGTGCCTGACTCAGCACCTGAGGGTCACATCCTGGCTGTTGTCACAGGAAGCAGAGCCGACTGAACAGGCCCCTGATGCGTCGACGGAGCAAGCAGCAGATCTTGCTAAACAGAACGCTGAGACGCCCGAGGCCACGGTGCAGCAGGAAATGGACACTGACCTCCCAGAGGCTCCCCCACCCCCGCTAGAGCCTGCTGTCATGGCGCGTCCTGGCTGTGTCAACCTGTCCCTCCACGTGATTGTAGAGGATCGGAGGCCAAAAGAAAGGATCTCTTTTGAGGCAGGTGGAGGAGTCTTGAGGCTTAGAGGGGATGTGGGGTGCGGCCTGCTTCCTTTCCCCAATGCTCACAGGCCCTTGCTGCCCGCTCCAACAGGTGATGGTGCTGGCCGAGCTGTTTCTGGAGATGCTACAGAGGGATTTTGGCTATAGGATTTATAAGATGCTGCTGAGCCTTCCTGAAAAGGTCGTGTCTCCCCCGGAACCTGAGAAGGAGGAGGCGGCCAAGGAGGAAGCTGCGAAAGAGGAGGAAGCTAGCAAAGAGGAGGTGGCCAAGGAGTCCAACGATGAGGTACAGAATGAGGGCTCGGCTGCTGAGTCAGACCCCCCACTGGTGAGTACCTGCGGCCTGGGGTGGCCTGGGGACTGCGTCATAGTGCCTAACACCCTCTGAGTCCCCACTGGTGCCAGGCACTGTGTCCCACGCATGCGCTGCTTCCTGTCTTCTGCTCCCTGTACCCCACCCACTTCTCCCAAGCCTAGGATGGACTGAGGCCTGGATAGGGGACTCTGCTGCCTGTGGCCACATACCTGGGAAGTGGTACACCTGGGGCAAGGGAGGTGGCATAGAGGGGACGGAGGCTCCCGAGCCACTGAAGCGCAGACATCCTTATTAGAGTGCTGGGAAGGGAGAAGTGTGTGGACAGCCTGGTGGTGAACTCGACAAATTGTTCAGCTCTTTCTAAAGCATGAATCTTCTCCTTGCCCAGACACTTTCAAGGAGACAGTTTCTTGTGGGCCCCAGATTGCCTCCAAAGGAAAGGCCAGGTGCCCATGGTGTGCACTGACTCTCCTGTGCTTAACTCAGCCCATCATGTCCCTAGCCCGGTGCCTGGCACGCAGCTGGTACTCAGGTGTTGGCTGTCACTATTGTTCGTATGCTGGGAACCTCATTCCTTCCCCTCAGCACCTTGGTCTGCTTCCTTAGAAAGAGGATGGGCTGTTGCCTAAACCACCGTCCTCTGGTGGCGAAGAGGAGGAGAAGCCCCGGGGCGAGGCGGCTGAGGAGCTCTGTGAGATGGCCCTGGACCCCGAGCTGCTGCTTCTGAGGGACGATGGAGAGGAGGAGTTCGGTACGTCCTGGGTGAGGGCTGTTGGTCCTGGCGGCTCTCTAGGTCTAGCCACCCTGGCTTCCTCTGGGGACTGTGGAGCAAGGATGGGCCCCTGTGGGCCCCGCTCCACGTTCAGCTCAGGCTTCCTGTAGCAGGAGCAAAGCTGGAAGACTCGGAGGTGCGGTCTGTTGCCTCAAACCAGTCAGAGATGGAGTTCTCCTCACTCCAGGACATGGTGAGAGGTCTTCTTGTGGTGGGAGGCTTAGCAAGGCCACTGACTGCCAGGGAACAGGATGCCTACCAGAGGCTTCTTCCTTCAATTGGCAAATCTTGGCTTACAGAAAACATTTCACTCTCCAATGGGTGGGTCAAACAATGGGGTCTGATGCGGGAAGGCTCCCCTGGAGGCCTGTGCCCTGCATGTGCCTGCAGCTTTGAGGCCTCCTAGAGGCTGGTGGCTGAGCTGCTCGCTGTAAAGGGGCTGTGTCCTGCACCACATAGCCACTGAGTGCCATCATAAAGCTGTTTATATTTCCTCCACAGCCCAAGGAGCTGGACCCCTCTGCCGTGCTCCCCTTGGATTGCCTCCTGGCTTTCGTGTTCTTCGATGCCAACTGGTGTGGCTACTTGCACCGGCGAGACTTGGAGCGGGTCCTCCTCACGCTGGGCATCCGGCTCAGTGCAGAGCAGGTAGCTCCGTCTGCCCTGGCTTCTTCCCGAGCCCTCTCCGACTACAGGACTGGCTCTCCCCAGCCAGGCTTTGCCCCACCTGACCAGCAGGTGGCGGCTGTGTTTTCCATAGGCAAAGCAGCTGGTTAGCAGGGTGGTGACGCAGAACATTTGCCAGTACCGGAGCTTGCAGTACAGCCGCCCAGAGACAGTGGATGGTGGGCTTCCCGAGGAGGTGCTCTTCGGTATGTCCACCTGCATGGCTGTGGGGTTGGGATGGACTGCTTTCTGCTGGAGATGAATCCTGACTTCTTTGGTGGTGCATCTAGGAAATCTGGATCTGCTGCCTCCTTCTGGGAAGAGCACAAAGCCAGGTGCTGCTCCCACAGAGCACAAGGGCCTGGTGCCCCACAATGGCAGCCTGATCAATGTGGGGAGCCTGCTGCAGCGCGCGGAGCAGCAGGACAGTGGGCGGCTCTACCTGGAGAACAAGATTCACACACTGGAACTGAAGCTAGGTGAGGGTCTGGGGCAAGGTGGGGGGCACTGCTGGGTAGAGCCAGGCCCTTGTCTGGGCTCTCGCCCTTGACTGAGCTTTTCGGTGTCTTTCCCCACACAGAGGAGAGCCATAACCGTTTCTCGGCCACCGAAGTAACAAACAAGACATTGGCCGCAGAGATGCAGGAACTGCGGGCCAGGCTGACAGAGGCTGAGGATGCGGCCCGTGTGGCCGAGCGGCAGAAGGGCCAGCTGCAGCGGCTGCTGCAGGAGTTCCGCAGGCGCCTGGGCCCACTGCAGCTTGAGGTGCAGCGCATGGTGGAGAAGGTGAGGGGCAACGGCACGAGGGGTAGCTGTGCCCTTTATGGGGAGCGCTCACTGCCCAGGTTTTGTCCTCCAACCTAAGCCAGTAATTTTTAGGGAAGCCAGCCAGAGGCAGCGTCTCCTGATGGTCATCCTTGTAACTTTGTCCTGTCTGCTTGTAGGCCGACAGCTGGGTAGAGAAGGAGGAGCCAGCGCCTAGCAACTGAGAGCCTCGCCGTTCTGAGGTCAGCGATGGAGCCTAAAGACGTTAGAGCCCTTTTGGTACCAGAAAGCAGCTGGAGCAGGGCCTGGGAGCCACAGGCAGGGGTGGCTGAGCCCTGTGCGTAGCCTCTGCAGGGGACGCCAAGCCATCAGGGTGGGGTCTGTGCTATGAGGATGGATATGTGAAGAACCCCAGTTCCAGCTACAGCTAAATACAACATCTTTTGCACCCCTAGAATGTCATTTTGCCCTCAACCTTGGAATTTCTCCCGGGGCCCTTGTAGTCTTGTGCTGTCTCCTGTCCTCTTCCAGTTTTGAGTAAGACGGGAAGAAAAGGCTTTTCAAGCCTATGACAAGGTCTGATGCCAGTAAACTGAAGGGACAGACGTGGAGTCTGATGGGGGCCAAGAAGCCCTTCTCTGGACGGCACAAACCCCGTAGCTCCAGGTGCAGCTCCTGGGGCACTCTGTGGCCGTCGTGGGATGGAGCCTGTGCTAGCAGGCGGCCCTTGGCATTGGGCTGCAGTTGCCAGTAGAACACTGTGTTCCAGCCACTCTAGACTTGCCAGAAGAAACCAGCACCTTCCCCGGCCCTGTGTTCAGAATGTGGTATTGGCTCTGGCCCAGCCTTTTCCCTATTACCCATAATTCCCACCTCTTTCCGTAATCCATGGTTTCAGTTTGACTTTGTATATAAAGTTGTTTTTTTTTTTTTTTTTTGGCTTTTTGTTTTTTAAATAAACCAAAGTCAAAAACAAACCAAGCATGTAGATCTTCCCTGGTGCTTTTCTGGGCTGTCTGGTGCTAGCCCCAGCAGAGGCTCTGCTGCTTACTGGCCACTGCTACGGAAGGTGGGAAGGGGAGGTGTTCCGGGCCACTGCCCGCAGGAGCCTGGCTCAGGTAGAGAAGCTGCCACGGCACTTCCTGCTCTGGATGTTACAGTATCACACTAGGAGATATTTTATTGGAAACTTTACTTGCAAAAATAAAATTCCAGTACATATTCAGGTGTGATGCGAACCCACCATGTTGGCTCAGGCCTGTGGACTGATGTGATATACCCTGGGAGACGACGCGGGGCTTGGCCCTGTGTGGACTGGGACCTCCCTGTCCCCCAGAGCAGCGAACCATGCTGTTGGGGTGAAGAGCAGCAGTGGGGGCACATTCCTGACATGTCCCCTGGAGGTAGATGCAGCCTGCCGTTGCAGGCAGAACTAAGCCCTTTGTGCTGATGCAGTGCTGCAGCCTGCTCTGGCCGGGGCCAGGGTGCGCTCTGGACGGTTCTGGAAGTGAAGGAGCCCCTGGGGTTTTCCTACACTGCTTACCTATACCCCAGGCTGTGGTAGGGAGAGAGCCTGCTGGTGGCTTCTGGTGTCAGGCTCCAGACAACAAAGGCACTCAGGTCAGAGGGCTGAAGCCACAGCAGGGGCCACTGCGGGCTCCAGCCTGCCAGTGCCTGCTGAGGGCAGAGGCTGCCTGCGTCCTGGGAGTCTGTAGAGGGCTGAGCTTAGTCATCGGCCACGATGGACAGGGCACGGAGCTCGCTCAGCTTGGCCTCATTTTCCCGCTCCCGCTGCTCATCCGAGTGGCCTGGCTGCTCAAGTTGCTGGGTCAGGTCTCCGAAGATCTTGTGCATCTCCGAGTAGTACACCACCTGGCCAGAGACAGGCACTGTTGGCAGGGGCCAGTCCTGGGGACCCCTGTGCCTACCCCCAGCACCCCAGTCCCTTGGGCAGCTGCAGACCACCCAAGGGGGATGTCCCACTGCTGCCCCGCCCCTGCCCACACTGCGCATCTTGGAGCAGCCTTCTGGGGAGAGTGGGTGTCCACTGTGCTGCACAGAAACACTCTCGTCAAGACGAGGGCAATAGGCTGGGAAGGGCTCGGGGTCTGGTTTCTCTAGTAACAGGGCTGGCAGGAACCCTGTGCTTGTAGGTGGCCACGGGACATACCAAGGCCAAACTCAGGCCTCGGACAGTTGGCTGACTGATGGGCAATGTGCCTTGGGCTTCACTGTGTTTTCTGAGCCACATGAGAAGCCAAAGGTTTTTGTCCACAGGAGATACATGGCAGGTGGTGACCACTAGAGCCTTGAGAGTCAGTTCTGAAGCAAATGCAAGAGGTGACACCTTTCCACTTCTGACCCAGCCCACGCTGACCTGGGCCTGGCTTTGTAGCCAAGGGAGCAGCTCTGAAGCCTGGCTCCCATCCACAGCCCTTCCAGGCCAGCCCCAGCAGTGGGGTCTAGGGCACACAGAGACGTGAGGTTGGGTAGGTGCAGGAGTCAGGGAGACTCAGCAGCTCCAAAGAGGGGGACAGGTGCCACTTCTGCTTCAGTGTCCACCTCATGGCCAGTGAAAGCCTCTGCTCCTGTCATCTCCTCAGCTCTGGGCAGGCAACAGGAGAGGGACTCATCCTCCACTTGGAAATATGGAGAGGGCTCTTGGGAAGGTGGCATACTCAGGGCCAGGCTTGTCTCTCAGGAAGCCTCCAGACAATGCAGCTGCTTCCAGTAGGCCGAGGGCAGTCCCAAATGACCTATCACCTCAGTAGCTGGGAACCTGCATGAGTTCTGGGGAGAGGCCTTGGCGCTCAGTGAGTCACCAGGAATGCTTACTTACCCAGTGACTAAAGGCAGTGGCAGTTGGGTAAGGAGGCGGCAGGTGGAAGGCAGGCAGTAAACAGCCTGGTTACCCTGCTTCTTGATCTCAGGCCTGGGCCCCCTGCAGCCTCCTCCTGGGAGCTGCGGGTGGATGGTAAGTATGGGGTAGCACAGAGGTCATTGGGGGCTGCACTGGGGGCAGTGCCACAAAGCAGAGGGAAGGTAGGGGTCTCCTTCCAAGCCCCCTTCTCTGCTGCAGAGGGTGTGGCTGGGGAAGGTCACCCTCATCTCTGGGCAAGTGAGGAAAGAACCCTTTCTCCTTCTGCTGATGGCTTTGACTTGCTGCCCCCTGGAGAGAGCACCACACAGCACAACTCGGGTCACCTAGCAAGCCCACCTCTAGTGTAAGTCCTACTCAGGTGTCCTGATGCCAAGTCCCTACCCAGAGCTTGGGGAGTTCCCCAAAACTGCAGGCTGGGAGGTGGGTGGGATTCAGGCCCTTAGGGGCTCAGGTGACTGGGGGATCAACAAAGAATGATGATGGCCACTGGAGGGTGCCAGACACCCAGGCAAGAACACGAAGACTGGCTGAGGGTGGGGCAGGAACCTTCCAGCTCTGTCCCTAAGGTCAAAGGTGGAAGGGTGTTCCCATCCAGAGCCCAGAAGCTGATGCTGGTATCTGCGGTCAGTGGGGCCTGCATGGGGGAGCTCTGTTCCTGGCTGTGGCTCCTGACCTTTCTTTCTTGCCTGCAGAATCTTCCAGGGAAAGCTTGGTGACAAGTGGGCGGGGTTGGGGGTTGTCTGGTACCACCCACTCTATCCTCACACCCCTGGACAGAGGAGGAGACAGGCTCTAGTGTCCTGGCCCAAATGCACAGCTGGGCAGTGCTACTGCATCACTGAACCCAGCCTGCTCTCTGCTGTAGGCATGGGGTGCCCAGAGTGGACAGCAGCTGAGCAGGGCTCCTCCCCTCCCTCCCCCTACCCTGTGAAAAGTTGAGTCAAGACCACTGCGGTTTCCTGTTAAAGGACTAATGGGGGTACTCAGAGAAAGGCATTCACCCTGGAGGACCTGGACCCTTGTTCTCTTGGACCAGGGCAAAGAACCTGCTCAGCCAAAGTGGCAGCTGATGGTGTCACTAGCTTTCTTCTTGCAGCTCACAGTAAATGAGAGGAAGAACTCAAGGGAAGAATGGTTGGGAGTCTCAGCTGGGCGTGGTGACACGACTATAAACCTAGCACTTGGGAGGCCGAAGCAGGACATCGTCCGTGAGTTGGAGGCCAGCTTGGGCTACATAAACAAGTTCATGGCCAGCCTGTGCTACATAGTGAAACTGTCTAAAAAAAAACCCAAGAAACAAAAAAAGCCTCATCCATTCTAGGACTGGGACTGACCCAACAGCACAGAGGAAGCCCAACAGAAATTCCGGTCTGTGGCCCAGACCCAGGATCCTGGCACTGACTGATTTCCCATGGTGCCCAGGCTGAGGATAGACCGGTGACCTCACCTGTGCCCGGATCAGGGACTCAAAGCTGGGTTGGAAGTAGTCAAGGCGGCTGCCATAGAACCGTGGCATTTCATCCAAGAGCTGCTTGTTCTTGGCCTCGAAGTCCTCCCGCACAGGTCGCAGCTCTTCTCGGGCCTAAGGGTGGGAGCCTGGTTTCAGGACACAGGTGCACAAGTGGGAGTGGGGATAGCTGGTGTCTTGGGCCCTGCAGGTCCCCAGGTGAAGAGCAGAACTTGCTACATGGCCCTTCTGTCTACCCCGCCCCTCCTTCCGCTGACCACTTGCCGCTCCCTGTCCCTGGCACCTGGTGGAGCTTGGCCAGCACAGGCCCCGTCTTTTCCTTCTCCTCGTACTTCTCCACCTTGGCCTGCAGCCGCCGATAGTCCTGCAGCGCCTGCTCCCGGCGCTTCACCGCCATGTTGAGACTCGGGAACACACTGCCAAACCTGCAGGTACAGCCTGGTCGGATGTGGGCTCACGACTCCTTCACAGGTATCTGCAGCTAACCTGCTAAGTGCCGGACCTTGCTCCAGGCCTGGGCTCACTGGGCAGATAAGGCCCTGGTAGCCCAGAGCTCAGGGACAGAGAAGCCCACTGCACAGGACAGTTAATCAAGAGTGGATGGGGCTGGGCACCACTCTACTGAGCACCACATGAGGTGACAATGATGTCCCTTTCCTGCCGCTGCCACCCTGCCACCCATGGAGGCCTTATCACATTCAGGAGAGCTCCAGGCCAGGGAGATGACATGCGACTTGCCAAAGGTCAAGTCAGGTAGAGATGGCCCAAAAGAGAACTCAGTGTCCAAGTTCTCTGTCTGGCATCTCATGGTGCCACCAGCAGGTGACAGATCTGAAACTGGAAGCTACTTCTGGCCAAGAACATCTCTTCCTTCAAGAATTCCTTTGCACCACAGGAAAGCAGAAATGCCACAGTTCTATCACCACCGAAGGGCAAATGGCCAAAGCAGATGCTTCAGGAAAGTGACATGGGGGCTTCCTCCTACCTCCATGACTAAACAGGACCTCCATGAGAACTGGTCAGGGGTGGGCTACTTAGAAAGGGCACCAGTGGGGTCCCTGGGCACAGCCAGCTTGACGAGTATCACCTTTATACAAAGGCCCATGGGTCTGGGGACAGGCCTATGAAGTGAGATCTTATCTCAAAAACAAAGAAACAGAAACAAAGAGCAAAAAGCCTCAACAAATCAAGAGAACATATGAGGTAAGAACAGTGATGAGTGTGTTTTTCAGAGAACAGAAAACATAAACTTGGCCAAGCATTAAACTGCCCAAACTAAGTTATACCAAGAGAGCAGATTATGGTGGAATAGGGCTTATCCTCAAAGGCCACTGGGGTGTCCACACAGGCATCCCACCTAACTGAAAATGCTAAGGAACAGATTGCTAGAACGCTGGCCCTCAGCCATGCACCTGTTCACAGTGACTGCACTGAAGGCCAGCAGGTTTGCCAGGTAGAAGACACAGGTCCACTCTGCGGTGTGAACCAGGATGGCCCAGGCAGCAGCTCACGTGTCGCTCACAAGCAGGGCTGCAAGGGCAAAGCCCAGCAGCTGCCACCGCACTTCCAGCTGCCAGGGTCATTGCTCTCCCTTCCTGGGCAGCTGGGCAGTGTCTGGCTCAAGGCAGCAGGTGCACTTGGGCCTGAGAAGCCACCAGGCTGCCCTTCCCTCCACCCCAAAGGGACCAGAGATGTCCAGCAGCTGTTTGATCCTCTTGCCAGACGCAACCTGCTGCTTGGGTGGCCCCAGTGCCTGAAGCCTGGGTGACTGCAGGAAGAGCAACAGGGCACAAATGACATGGGGGGGGGTTCTTGTTCTGGCCACAGTGCCACACCACTTGGGGTCACCTCCTGGGGCAAGGACCCCATGGGGATGAGGCAGTGTGTGAGGTGTAAGTGTAGGGAGAGCGGAGTGTCACCCTGGAAGCTAGGCAGCCCTGGAGACCTCAGTGGTGTGGGTTCTGTGGGTCACCATCCCAGTCCCTTTCCCATAGTGGCATCTCCACGTGTACTCAGCTCTCAGGGGGGTACTATGTGGAAGGACCCAGTCAGTCCTGGATGATCACAGCAGCTGAATGCAGAGCAAGTGCGGATCCGGGATGCTGATGGGGAGAGCCTTGGGGACAGTGGCCTCGCGCCACGCCCCACAGATCTACCTAATAGAGGTTTCTCCCCCACAGCCTCTGGAACCCCACCCTCTCCAGAGGCTGTTGTTTCTTGGTGCACTCAGTTTCAGCACTGCTGGCTTCCCTGGGGAGGGGAACCAAGGCCACCCAGTCCTCTGATTCTCCAGGATGACAGTGGGGTGTCACATCTCTGTATCCAAGGGGCAGCCCCTGTGAGTCAGGGGACAAGTGTAGCCAAACCTAAGGTGGCTGAGGAAAGACCGGGGGGGGGGGGGGCTAGAATGCTGGGACTACTCCTGCCCCTCCCCCTCTTCCCATTTTATTCTTCACAGCCAAGAACAAATCATGGCAGCCCATGTGGTGGGAAGGGTGGCACCCAAGGGCTGGGGCCTCACAACAGGACTCCACCCCCACCAGAGCAGATGCCTCCTCCAGCTGCAGAGGGTCTGGTGACATAGGCAGAGGCTGGTGCCCTGGGACCCCACAGAGGTACCTGCCAACAGCCTGGGGGAGCAAGGCAGAGGGACCCCAGTTCTCCCCCAGGCATGATGGCTGCATGTTTACTGGTCTGCCACTGGCCAGACGTTCTCTGCTAGGCCTCTGCTGCCTCTGTAATTAGTGGTGAGATGGGAGGTGGAGGTCCCTCGGCCAGGTCTCCGCCCACTCAAATCACACCTCCTGCTGCCTTCTTGGCCTACCCAGACCTATGGCTCTGCTCCTGAGCTCTGCCCCTCCAGACAGGAAGCAGACTGAGACTGGGGGTGGCGGGGATTCCTCCATGTTCCTCCCAGCACTACACCCCTGCTGTCCTAGGGGCCCACAAGGCTCCGGTGGACAGATTCATGCGTTCCTGAGGAGAGAGGGCAGCAGGCCCCACCCAGGCCCTCCAGAGGCTGCTGCTTCTTGCTGCACTCAGTTTCAGCACCAAGCTGTCTTCCCGGGGAGGGGAAGCGTGGGGTGAAGGGGAGCAGGGAGGGAAAGAGGCCGGCTGGGAGGTGGGCTGGGTGCAGCCGGCCTGTGGGGAATGCCTGCCATTCCTCACTCAAGCCCACGCAGCCGGGATCTTCCACCCACCAGGAAAGGGAAATTGGAAGCATCCCTGTCCGATATGTGAACAGACCCAGGGGCTGGGGGATTAGAGGCTGAGCCCCCTTGGGGGGAGGTTGAGGGTGGCAGAGTGACCATGTGGCCATGATCTTCATCAGAGGACAGGAAAGCTGCAGTTTCCTGTTTCCGGTGTTGGGGTCCTGGGGAGCGTCTCTCCTGGCACAAGGCAGTGAGTAGGGAGGAGGCAGCAGGCAGTGGTGGTTTATGCGGTCAGGAGAGATCGCATGTCGGCCACAGGGCGCAGGAGCCAGCCAGGGTGGTCAAGGGCTCATGCAGGGGTCAGCAGATCCGTTGCGGAGATGGCGGCCACCCCCTGCCACGCCCCCACCTTCCTGGCAGGTGGTGGGCTGCGAGCTGGTGGGAAGCAGCCGGGGTTTCTCTCCATGTGGCTGCAGAAGCCAGGGATCTGATTTCAAGGCCGCCTCACTGGTTGTGAAATCAAGACAGCAGCCAGCTCCCCAGTTCTCCAAGCCGCTGTCCCTGCCTGGCTCTACCAGCCCTAGATGCCTGCAGCTGCCTCGGGGACCCTGAGGCCCTGACAGGCAGGGTGCTCTGCGGGCAGGGCCTATTCTGCCTGTGCCCCTTTTACTCAGCTCTGAACTTTTAGTCTTGGAGGCCAGGCCTGAAAGCCACCAGCCAGAGGCTCCCGGTGTGACACAGGGCTGGGGGAGCCCACTCAGGGAGGAGGCTGGGGAGCAGAGTGGGAGGAGGCGGGAGAAACCCCTTTCTGCACCAAGCTGGGCCTCCAGCTTTGCAGCGTGGGCCTGGCTTGAGAGGAAGCACTCTGCAGGTCAGGGGGACATTTTCCTGACCCCGCCTCTTGGAGCCCAACAGGGAAGGAACAGCTCAACACCCCCCAAAACCAGGGGCCAGAGGATCAAACTCTGCTCTTTTCATCTCCCTCCAGGCCCTGTTCCGGGCCTAATGATAATTAAGCAGAGCCTCATTCCCCTGGGCCTGGCGAGACAACTGCCAGAGACCACCGCAGAAGAGGTAATAAAGTACAGCTGCTGGGCTTCGGTGGGAGCCTTCGGAGGTCAGCACCCCAGGGGAAAGGCTGGAAAGGAAGGGATCGGGAGCATCAAGGCTTCGGCCTCCTTGCCCAGGGGGGCCAGGGAAGAGGCCTGATTGCCAACCAGGGCCTGCCACTCCGAAAGTCTTCTATAGGAATTCCTGGCCCTCACAGTCACAAGTGAGGGGACCCTCCCAGGCGGGACCCTGAGGCTGCACCCTTCCCACCCCATTTCCAAAGCCAGCGCTGTGGGCAGCTGCATTCCCCCGGGCTGAGATGAAAGACTGCCCTGTGTCTGCTGAGTGCTCTGCTAGCTGAACTCAGCTGGCCTGGCCCCATGGTCCCAATCACAGGCAATGGAGGCCAGGGCCAGGCAGCCACTAGAGCACTCCTCCAGCACTCTGGTGGGAGATGCATGGCCGCAGGTATGGCTGGGCAGGGCTGTGGCTGTGGGAATCTTGGCCTTGAGTCACGGAGCATGTGGCTGGAGGCCCAAGGGATGCAGGGAACAGGCTGCTAGGTTAGCTCCTCGGTCCCCAAGGTTCCTGCGCCTTTCCCATTAGTGCCCTGAGGCCTGTGTCCCCAGGTGACCTTACTTTTTCAAGGGTTCGATGACTGTCTTTTGGATCTGGTTCACCTGTCAAAAGAAAAAGGCAGTCACATCTGAGGGGAGCCACGCTCTTCCTAAAAGGGGAGGCTCCGAGCTCCTCAAGGACAGACCCATGGGGACCCAAGACTGGGGTGCTATGGGGGGGGGTAGTGTGCACAGAGGCCTGGGGCCAGGTTGCACTGTCCTCTGCACCCTGAGGCTGGGTGGGCAGAGCAGCCTCGAGAATGCCCTCAGGCTGGGGCAGGCGCTCACTAGAGGTCCAGAGGGGAAGGAGGTGGAGCCTGCCTCTGGCTACAAAGACTTAGTCACCTTTTCCTGGTTGAAGGCGTCCATCCGCTTCATAGCTGTGTCCAGGGCTGTCACCATGTTCAGAAAGTCCTGGTCCTGCTCACACAGGGGATTGGAGAGGAGGTCCAGGGAAATCTTCACTGCAGATTTTGACATGGCTGTAAGCAGCAAAGTGCAGTGAGCCCGCAGGCACAGACTCAAGGTCTGGATCACCCTGCAGTCCAGCACCTGCACCCCCTAACCTTGCCCCTTGCCTACCATGGCTGCACAGCTATGCAGGACCACACAGTGCCACCCTTAAGGCTGGATGTGCATTTCTGACCACAGCACCAAGCCAAGGAATTCTTGTGAGCAGCTTTATGGATGGCAATGATAGTATCTCTGACTCCAAAGGTATGGCCAGTAAACCCAGAACCTGAGGATATGCATTTTATTTTTTGAGTCAGGGTTTTGCTATGTAGTTCAGGCTGGCCTTGAACTCACAGCAATCCTCCTGCCTCAACTTCCCGAGTGCTGGGATTATGGGCATATGCCACCACTCCCAGAGAGAATATGCATTTTAAAGCCTCTACAAGGTGGTGCTGGCACATGACTCAGTCTAAGCCTCCCATGTACATGGGTAGCAATACCTCAGCTTGCACAGGGGCAGTACACTTTGAGGGTAACCACTTCATGCCCCGTGAGCCACCTGGAAGCCTGGAGGTCACAGGCAGCACCAGGGCAGGTGCTTGGTCCCACACTCACTTTCAGGTCTGAATATCTGCAAACAAAATTCTAGAGGCAGAGGGAGAGGGACTGGAGGTGGGGGCCTATCTGTACCAGTCCAGGGTGCTGCTGGCTCAGTCTTGGGGCAGAATTCTTATCTCTTATCTCACAATTCTTTCTTCTCCTTAAAAGCATTAGTTTAGCATGCCCTAATTGCACAAGTTAATGGGTTTCACAGCAGCATGTCCATATACTGTGCTTTGATTGTACCCACCTTTTCTAATACCCTCTCCCCACATCACATCCCCCTTTGCCAAAAGGTCCCCTTCTTCCTGCTTTCCCTCCCCTGATGCCACGTAAGCAAAGACCTACCATGTGTGTCACTAAGAGACTGGCTTATCTCACTTAAGGTGATGACCTGTGGTTCCATTCAGCGTCCTGCAAATGATGGACTGCTCTTCCTTATGGCTAAAGACTACTCTGCTACATGCGTCTACCACATTTTTTAAATTCCAGGCTGATTCTGTACTTGGCTGTCATGCACAAGGCAATGATGAACATGGTTGTCCAGGTATCTTTTGTATGCTGACTTCTGATTCTTTCTGGGACAGGCCCAGGACAGCTAAAGCCAGTGCTGTGGAGGGGTTTCCATACTGTCTTCCATAGTGGTGGCACTGTTACCCTCCCACCAAGTGTGTGACAGTTCCTTTTTTCCATGATATTTGCTATTATTGTTTTCTTGATAACAGCCATCCTGACTGGGGCAGGATGCAATCTTAGTGTAGTTTTGACTCCATTTCCTGCTGACTAGAGGGTGAGTATTTTTTCACTTATTGGCCATTTGTACTTCTCAGAAGTATCTATTCAGTTCATCTGCCCATTTACTGATTAGATTACTTGTTCTTTTGGTGTAGCAGTTTTGGAGTTTTTTATATATTATGGATATTAATCCTCTGTCAGATGAATGGCTGGCAAAGATATTCTCTTATTCTACAGGCTAAGAAGACAAGTATTTCTTTTGTTGTTTTTCAATACTGGAGGTCGAATCCAGGGAGCAATGAGCTACATCCTTAACTAATATTTCCTGCAGCATGTGGGGCCCTTCCTGCCAGTGAAGCCCAACCAGCAACATCACGTCACATTTGTTTTCGGTGGTGGTGGGGTAACCAGGACTTGAACTCAGGACCTCACTCTTGCAAGGCAGGCACTGAGCCACTGAGCAATATCCCCGGCCCAACTCATTTGTTACTACTTTTGAGATGAGTTCTGCTAAGTTGCCCAGGCTGGCTTTGAACTTGCAATCCCGTCTCGGCATCCCAAGCAGCTATTACTATTTGCATGCATCATCGTGTCTGGCCAACAGGCATATTTTTGAATGCAGAGTTTTTCCCCTAATGTTATGTTACTAAATTTAAGATGTTATCATGTGTGGGGTTGGTTTTTCTTTATTTTTGGGTGGTACTGGGACTCAAACCCAGGCCTCAGGCCTGCTGAGCAAGTGCTCTGAAAATGCTGCCAATCAAACCAGGACACACTAGCCAGTGCTATAGTACTTTCGCTTCCAGTACGTTAAGTATGTCTCAGGACTAAGGCCCTGCTTCCTGCCAACCTGTGTGAGGACCAAGGAGCCCCACGCCTGGCCCCAGCCTGCTGGCCCACTGGGTCAGGAGAAGAGAAGCCCTGGTGAGAATGCTGCAAATACTGCAAAAGGGCCACACAAGGGTGAAGACCAGCAATGGGAACCCTCCAGAAACATGGATGCAACGGAGGAAGGAACTCTGTGAAGAGACTTCGTAGGTTTAAGAACAGACATTATGCATCATTTGATTTGATTATGAAATGATCACATATGCCATAGTTAAGAGATAATAACCTTGAGAAAGCTGGAAAATTTTTGAACAATGTCCTTTTTTTTTTCTTGAGGGGGGAAATTCCTAAAAGTTGGGGGAGACTTTTCTTCCTAGGTTTCCTTCTCTTTCCTAGCACTCTCCGATCTCCAGGCTGCTGGCTTGGCTGAAGGGCATGAAGTCAGTGAACTGTGCCTCCTAGGCCACCAGCAGTGGCAGAAGTGGGTCTGGCATCCCACAGGGCACAGCCTGGGGCTCGTGTCTGGGATGCCCTAGTCCCTGTTCCAGATCAAACTCTTTTGCCTCTGCAGGGCCTGGGCAACCCCACATAGTCTGGAAGGCTGGGTGAGCTTTGTTTGGTAGACGGTATTGTTATGTAGCCCAGGCTGGCCTCAAACTCAAGGTGATCCTTGTGCCTCAACTTTCTGCATTCTGGGATTATGGGTGTGCACGGCTAGGCTGTGAGCTCTAAAAACTCAAGATAAAATAAAGGTTTTGGGCTTCCCTTGGGATCCAGAGATCTCTCCAAGTCTTGATCACTCTGAAAGTCATACACACTTTCTGAAGGAAAGATCATCTTTAGACAAAGCTTGGGGATTTTACATCCTGACTGGGAACTCAGAAGATTCTAAGCTCAGGAAAGGTATAATTTAATTCCCGCCAAATGCCAAGGCCAGCAGCTCTCTCAGTATGTCCCTGATCGCAGTGCTCCAGTGTCACCTGGGAACCCAGCAGAGACACATTTCCAAGCCTTAGCCACACCTGATAAATGAGAGATGGGGGCAGGTCCAGCATCCTGGGCCACCTGTGATGAGCTTGCTTGGAGGCTGTGCTCCAGGACAGCTCTCTGCCCTCGCTAGCTCCTTGCCTGCTCCTCTTCTGGGGCCAGGGACCTCAGACTCCACGAGCTGTCACTTGATCCTGTTTCTTTGTTGAAAGCCAGGCTTCCTGCAGCCACAGCCTCTTCCCTGGGGTCCCTGATGCTCTACTTGGTTCCAGAGCAACTTACTACAAAACAAACGGGAAGCTTTCCCCAGTGCATTCTGCCAGTGCAGATGTCTGGGAGGGGCTGGGGAGAGGCAGCAGGTCACAGCAGTTTTTCTGCTCAAGGGAGGCAGTGGACAAGTGCCCCCAAAGTAATGCAGATCCAGCGTGGACCCAAAATGCGCAAACAAACTCCTGAACCTGACCCTCAGCTCAGAGCGGCCTATCTGCAGGAGCACAGGACCTGGGGTTCGCAGAGCTGCCCAGGGGGTCAGCATGCGTGGCTGGGGTGCTCCCTTTTTCCTTCTGCACCATCTGCTCCTCACCCGTTTTCCTTACAGCACTCGACACATAACTTGCTTTATGACGCCGGCCTCATATCCTCCCTCTGAGGTGAGCAGCTACTGCCTGGCATCACTGTTGGATCCCCAGTCTCAGAATGGACATCTGCGACCTGTCCATCCAGGCCTCGAAGGCCCCGCTGAAGCGATGTGCAGATGCGCCCCTCCCCCAGGAGGGGGCCACCTAGGTTCACCCAGCCAGGGGCCTGGTCACTGCTGCCCCCGACAGTGGAAACTGACCATCACTGAGGGGTGACCAGGTGTTGGCACCACTCTTAGGCCTGTTCATTAGCCTATATCACGGTCACATCTGGTCAGAGAGGTGGGGACCAGCAGCACTTGGATCTCCTGGATGAGGAAACTGAGGCATAGTGAGTTTAGTGGGGTCCAGGGTATGGGTAGTGCCAGAGTTAGGGACTGGCTATTGGCCAATGCTGCAAGGTGGGATGGGGACAGCAAAGGACAGCGCCCTACTGTACCAGCTGCCCTCAGTCACCCCAGGCTGTGGCCCTGGCCATGGCCTCTTGATGCCACCCGATTCAGTGCTGCCTTTGTCTCTGGCCTCCTGGGCCTGTTTCCTCCTTGTTGCAAATAAGACCTCAAGGTCCTAGCTGTTTCCTGGTACCTGCTGGCCCACTCACCAGGCCTTGTAATGCTCTTTGAAAGGACACAATCATCCTGAGGGGTTCCTGGCCCTATACATGAGGCAAAGTTTCTGCTGAGGAGCATGGCAGCTCAGTTCCTGCCACCCCTGGAAAGCCAGGCCTCTTGTTTCTTCGAGGAGGAATCTCCATCTTCTCTCTCTGACCAGCCCAGGTTGTGGCTCAGGAAATGGGAAGTGGGTGGGGCACACCAGTGACCCGAAGCTTCTGCTGGCCATGGTGCCATCCTGACCTGGAATGACAGCAAGCTTAGGCCTGTATCAATTGCCACAGCAAGGTGGCAGGTACTCTGGGGAAGCAATGATCTGATGGGTGATAGTGCCCTGTGACACCACTGCTCAGTTCATGGCTCAGATGGTGCTGAGCTCACAGGGCACCCTGACCCCAGGTGCCATGCCAGGTGCAGGGCACGGCTACCCACCTAGGTCGGCATCCGTGCTCTTCTTCATGTCCTTCTGCAGCCGCTTGGTCTGCTCTTCCAGCCTGCAAAGCAGTGGCAGCCCTGGGCACCAGCCCTACTGCACTTAGCCCCTCTCCCCACTAATGCTAACAGGTGAGCCCCCCAGCTACTATGCAGGTTGCCGGCCCACTCCCACACCAGCACGGCGTGACCCTCTGTCTGGGGACGCTTCCCATGGCTTGAAGGAGGTCAAGTGCTCAAAGTTGACCTCCTTCCTGCAGCCATGTGCAAGAGGAGAACTCGTAGAATGTGACCTAAGTTGCGCTGTGCTACCAGCAGCTGAGCAAGGGCTTGCCCCATCTCCCACTTCACTCTCCAGGGTTTGACACTCACTGCTGAAGTTTTCCATATTCTCTTTCAAAGTCTCTCTCCACCTGTAACAAGAAAGAGATAACTCAATCAATGGAGAAATGACAACAGAGTGGAAAAATCTCCCGGCCTGCGGAAACTCTCTCCACACCCTCCTTGCAGCCCGCAGGGAGCCTGCGGCAGATGTTAAGGACACTGTATCCCTGTGTTCCCAAATTAACGAAGTGTTGATTTGGGGAGAAGTCCTCCCCTCCTGGAGGGGCCGGCCAGGCAAGTCACAGCGGGTTGAAGCCCTGTTCTGCCACTGCAGGGAGCCAGGCGCCAGGCTGGGTGCCCTACCTCACCTCAACCCTGGTGGCAGTCAGGGAGCTGAGTGGGACTGAAAGCCAGCCCAGGAGGCAGGCGGACGCAGAGAAGGTGGTTGTGGTTCAGGGCTGGCTCTGCTGCATACCAGTGGGGGGAACCCAGCAGGTCCTCAGTCCTCTCAGCCTCAGTTTCCTTCCTGCCTGGGTGGGCTCAGGGAAGATCTGAAAGGTCACATCTGTGACTACAGGTGGGAGAGCTATTTGGGAGCACAGGGGCCTCACCTAGGCCCTTCCAAGTCCACTCCAGTAGAGCTTTCTTGGCAGGTGCCGTGGGAGGGCAGCTTTCAAAGGGTTCCTCTGAATGGGCAGGGCCAGGGGATCCATGAACTCTGATACTAGCTGTAGAACCTGGAAATATGTCCTCACATTTCTCAGCCTCACTTCTCTGGTAAAATGGGGTAATTTCACTGAGTCATTCTCCATGACACCTCTGTCTCAGAGGTTTGTCATCAGACTTAAATGGGCAATATGTACAGAGCACAGTCAGGCGGCAGCTGGCCCATGACCGAGCACACTGAGCTGTACAGGGATGCAGATACAGACCATGACCTTAGCAGAGAGAAGGCCCAAGACACACAGGGTACAGCAGCAGGAAAACCTTGATGATGGCTAAGCACGGAGCCCTGTGCTACATGCCACGAAGGTTCTGCAGCTCTCTTTTCACCTCAGGGAGGTGGCCGCTGGGCGGCCTCCTGAAGCCTTTATCCATGAAAGGATGAAATAAGAACTAAGTGTGTCTTGGCCAGAGTGCAGCACTCTCAGAGACCCGAAGTGCCCCCCGAGTTGCTGTGCCCTGGCTCGTGCTCTTGTGCAACGTGCTTAGCGTGCTCCTGTGTGTGGGATGCCAGAGAACACCTGGTCTCCCCGGCTGATGACTGCTTGGACTTGCACAGCAGGGGACTCAGGGTTGGGGGGTGCCTAGGTGATGAGGGCTCACGCTGAAAGTGGCCAATGGGTTACAGCAGGGTGGGCGGCTGGCCCTCCACTCAGGGCTGTGCACACTGCTGCCTGACAGCATTTTGTTGCTCTGCTTTCAGAAGCTTACTAGGCCCAGGTCTCTCTGCACAGGGAGAAGACCAACTGAGGACAGCAACAGATCCAGCCCTTCAGAATATGGTGGAGGGAGTTGCATTCTGAGGGAAGGAGCCAAGTGGAAAAGATCTGAACATCTTTGCATGCTTGATGCGTTTGCCAAAAAGGCAGCTGGAGCCCAGTCAACAATGCAAGTGCAAACATATGTGCACCGACTGTCAGGGGACCAGGCCGGGCTGGGCCAGGCAAACTAGGTTAGCCCATGCAGGACCAAGCTGCAGACGGCTGTCCTCAGCCACTCCTTGCATTCCCTGGGCTCAGGGTGCAAGGCAAGGAGTGGCACTGTTCAGTGAATGAACAGATTGAGTGCCCCCCAATTTAAATTCTTGGTGCAAAGGTACATCACATCAGGGCTCAGGCAGAGGACCTTCTCTGAGCCCCTCTACAAGGGCATCGCCCAAGAGGCAACTGGGAGTGGGGCGGGCACAGGGGCTTGGCCGGTATTCTGGGCCTCTAGGGAGCTCGACTCTGGCCAAGAAATGCCTAGTTTCCATTTCATCCTTTCAGTCTGCTCCAACAGGATTAGGGAGGGTTAGGGAGGCAGAGGGTGCCTCTACTCAGCACATGCAACCTTTCTCCCCTGCAGAGGTTCAGTGTGGTTACTCTGGGGTCTAAGCAGAAGGCCAAAACCAGCAGGTGGGGGTTCGTACTCTGTCTTGGTGCTTATGGTCAGCACCTGCAGAGAACATGCCATTGCTGCCACGGCCTTGACAGCAGTGGAGTGTATGGTAATAACCTGGACGCAGGAGAGCGGTGAGAGCAAAGACACAATGCTTCCTTTGTGGCTGACAGTTCGGTGCATGAGCCAAAAAACCTCCTGAAACTCCCTGAAGATAACATGAGCATTTCTTCCCATGACAGGGGTGCCATAACTTCCAGTAACCCAGGCGGCCACATATGCTCCCCTCCCTGAGTGCCTGGGCAAGAACACAAGTGTGTCACCACCAGCCGCGGGCAGCTGCCAGAGATGCCGACTCCTGCACAGCCTGGGCCTGCTCTGGGGGCCACAGTGAGCCGGGGAACACACAAGAGGCAGGGTCTTGCTCCATAGACCTTAGTGCCCTGGGGAGTGGAGGAGAACAGACTAAGTAAGCACACAACTCTAGGCCAGGCTGTGATTTGGCTTTAGTTCTTCAAGGGAGATCAGAGGCCCAGCCTTGGATTCTGCTGCTGTGGGAACGGAGCCATGTGGACAGGCTGCATCCTTGATCACCTGGTTTTCTGTAACACAGTGGGCATCATTGAGGGCTCAGTCAAGACACTGGGCTGAGCACCTTCGATGTGTGACACTTGTGCAATTCAGAAAACATGGGTGCTGTTGACACAGTTTTACACACAGAAGCTAAGGCCTGGAGAAGCTAAGGAACACCATTTTTCTGTAGAAAACAAAGGCCATTTTTATGAAGACTGGGTGCTGGAAGGTTTTTTTTTTTTTTAATCTGTTGGTGTTGGTTCTTGGTAGCGAATGATGAGAATAAGACCCTTCTAAAACCCACTTCTCTTTTGGGTCTGCCATAGATTAAGCTCTAGAGGCTCAGAGCCGCACCTCCTCACTTCCTGTAGCCGGCTGGGGCCCGGTATTTGCAATCCCAGATTCTTGGGCTTCAGCTGAGAGCTTTCACAGATGGTCGGCCCTGCCGGAGGCGCCTTATCTTTGCATGAAGCAGCGGAGGACTCTTTTTAACTCGCGCCCAGTTCCTTTGGAGTGACCTCACTTTGGATTTCCCAAAGATGGAGGTGCTGGTCAGGAGTATGCTAACCTTCCTGCCAAACCAAAGCAGCATCTTTCCTGGAGTTTTGAAAGCTGAGGTGAGGAGTGAGAGAAGTCAGCAAGAAAAGGAGGTCTTCAGGGGCCGGGATGACAAAGACAAGGCCCTTGCCTTTCTGGAGGCATCACAAGAGAGCTGCTGCATTGCAGGTGCTCATGTTAACAGCAATGGCCACACTCAGGTTTGTGGGTGAGGGGATGGGCAGAGATTTCACAGCAGAATTCCCAAGTCCTGGAGATCCTCACGCCAGAGACAGCCTGAAGCAAGGGGAAGGGTGCTCAGACAGTGCTCTGTCAACAGGGGGATTTCACACCTTGGAACATCTCCACCACCCTATGGGCCTTATTTTACAGTGAGGAAATATCAAGAGGTTGGGCCAGATGAGCTCTCAGGGCTTCCGGCTCTAACTTTCTAGGTTCTGTGACTCTCTCCCTCTTCCACTTGAAAGCTAAGCTGCGGCTAAACACTATGGCTGGAAGGCAGAATCATCCTGTGCTGCCCAGGGACTGTGTCACAGAACAGAGCACTTTTGGTAGAGCAGATGAAGAGCCTGGATCACCTGAAGATGATGATGCCTGGTCTTTACATAGCTCAAGTGAACGCAAGTGCAGGTGTGGCCATGTGTCTGGTTGGGTTCCATGGTCCAAGAATCCTCTTAGGAAAAGGACTGCTCAGATGCAGAACCCTGCAAACCAATTCTTCTACCCACCTGAAGATGAGCAAGAGCTGGAAACACCCCAGGTCAGGAGGCCCCCACAAGTCCCATCTTTGAGAGGTTCTAGAGCTACATGCCTGGGAATGAGGCCCAGGCTGCCATTTTCCCAGCCCTAAGAGCTCAGAGTCAAAGCGCTGGTTCTATGTAGATGCTATGCGAGGCAGAAGTGAGCGCCTCAGAGTGAAAGAATTAGGGTACTCACTGTTTTGGGAACAATTTGTTTCTTGGGCTGCCCAATCTTGAAAGGAATCCTGTAAGAAAGAGACCAAGGGGGATACTGTGAGGAAGGCAGAAGGAGGTGGCTGAAAGAAGAAATGGGGCCCCCTTATCCCAGGGGAATGGGGACTGGAAGGGCTGGCTACTTGGCACTTGTACCCAAGCCCTGGAGGGCACAGGACCATGGGCACCTCCCACAGTGTCCCGTGCAGCTCCTGGGTACCACCTCTTCTCCAGAGCATCTTTCCATGGATAGTCTATGGTTCACTGAAAAAGTGAGGAGTGGGGAGAGACCCCTGAATAACAACCCCCATAAGTCTTTTGTGCAACTGCAAAGGAAAAATTGCGGGCTCCCTGGAACAGCTACCATTCTTGGAGACATTCCCTTAAAATCCCCAATGAATGTCACACGTCATCTACACCAGGTACTTCAGTGCTTCTCTGCAGGGGGACACACTGGGTCTGCACGGTGTCTTGGGCGCCAAGAAGGGGTGAGCTGAGCTCCAGCCCAGCCTCCGCCTCCAGCACTGACACACCAGACTTCACTTTCTTACTCTGGCAAATAAGCAGAGTAAACAGGTAGTTTAGGCACTTCCTCCAGGCACTGAAAACTCTCTACTCTTCTACTATGCTGTGAGGAGGCTAGAAAGCCAACACAGCACATCCCAGTAGTCACAGAAATAGCAGTGGCCCCCTCTCCACTGCCCTGTCCCCAGAGGAAGTAAGTAGAGCCCCCTCCCACCTTTCCCTTTACACCCTTCTCTTCCAGCCTGCTTCCATTTGGCCCAAACTGACCAACACCACTAAGCCCAACGGTATAATTAACTACCGATAATAACCCCAGACAACAAGCTGGTTGAGGGGATGGGCCGGCTTGAGTCACAGTGGTTTAAATTTAATTTCTGGAG